TGCTCAACCCCCTAAATGCTTACAGGAACCAGGAGTGGGTTATATTGGGATCTGAAAAGATTTCCAAGTTGATCTTCCACACCTGTGATTCCTAACAGACCCAAACGTTGTATAATAACTACTGTTATTTCAACCTGGAATTTAGCTACAGAATGTGAAGCTACAGAATTCCTTTGAAATATAAAAAGCTAGCTACATAAGGTTGGATCAAAAAATGCCCTCATTTTCTGGGTAACACAGGATCCAACCCAATATATTATTCATTCTCACATTCTCACTTACATAACCAATTTTTCATGGAGCTCTTACCTGAATCAACACCAACTGGTCCAAATATTTCATTTAACTGAATGGCTAGTTCAGGAGGTAAGACCAGCTCCAGGCAATCTATATTCACAGACTGTGACACGGATATGGGGTTCAGTAATTTCGTTTGACACTTATCCTGGTGAGGCATTTTGCTTTCTTCATTTTCTGGCGCAGCAGAAAACGCAGGCTTACAATTCATTTCTTTGTAGGACTCGGACTGGCTTTCAGTGTTCACACAGCCCTTCGGAAGTACTGGATTCTCCGGCAGCGCCTGAACAGCTGCACCTTTTATTTCTGAACACTCTTGATGTTTCTCTGAAGATCTGTTACCTGTTTCTGTCTCGGTGATGGGACCTCCGTTTAAATAATCAAATACAGTCGCAGGAACACAGAAGCCAATCTCAGTATTCAAAGTAGCGCTCTGATTATCATTTTCTAACAGTACAGTAGGGGTTATTTCTTTTGTCTGTGTTCTCAGAGTATCTAAAACAGGTTTTTCGTTATCCAGTTCACTTACATGACCACTTGGAACGTTATGATTGAAATTCTTATTTTCTACTGAAGAAACAAGCAAATCATTTGTTAGTAAGTTGAGTATTTCGGCATTTAGCTTGGAATCATCCACGGGTTTTCCATCATCAGGTGAGAAATTCTCATCTTCCGAGTTCTGAATAATTCCAGATGTTCTGGTTATCTGGGGGTGATCTGCAAGACTCTTTCCATAGATAGCATCTCCCTGAGAGTTAAGAGCCATACCAGGGAGCTGAGCCATTGTTTCCTGCAAACATTCAGTGCTGTCATCTTTGCACAGCTTCTCAGCAGAATCTAACAAGATTCCTGTAGTCCAGTCAATGTCCCGGTTACACCTTTCATACAGGTCCTTCAGTGCATCAAAAGAAAAGGACCCAAATAGTTTACACAAAATATTTAGATTCTCAGATTCATCAATATGGACAAGTTCCCTTTCTTCCACATATGTGCTTTTATCATAGGTGACTTTATACGGTATCTTCTCTGTACAATCTGGAGCAGCGTCAACACCTTTCGGTATGAACCCATCCAGTGTACCGTGTAACACCTTGATATCCTCAGGAGCAATCATTTTTCTTTCAAGCCTCCACAAAAGAGCAAAATCTTTGGGCTCCGTCTGTGAATACTGACTTGCCTCTGCTGAGCTGTGCTCACCTGCCTTCTCTTCCAGCAAATGAGACAAAGACAACTGTTCCTCTGGCTTGCCAAGGGCCAAGATTTTGGTAAACGTCAGGGCTAATTTATTATGCTTGCGTGTTCGTTTATTCTGTAAAGGCTTTTTCTCACTAATAATTTCAGAAGATGGGGCTTCGAGTGCCTGACTGTTTTCCCTCTTTGATGAGACCTGTAACTCTTCCCTGCTTTCTGATGTTCCAGGAAAGACAGCCAATGTGTTTAGAACACTTGTGTGGGTATCATAATGATCACCTGTAACCTCTTCTGATTCACTAAGATCTCTCTTGGGCATTCTTTTCATTTTGTGATGTCTTTGCTCTAAAAAACTTTGGATGGGCCAGTCTCCTACCAAGAGTGATCTTGATGCATCTTCCTCTGGATCGGCACCAGACATACAGACAGGCAGCCGGTTATCATCTTCCTCCCTGTTTTCCTGTAGCACCACCTTGTGTACTTTTCCATCTATATCTAAGTTTTTTAGTGAGTCAAGAAGGGGCGTATTTATTCCTTTATCTTCCTCATCATTCTTTATGGTGTGTTCCCCTAACCGTCTTGCTCTTTTCAGCCTCTGCCCCATAGTCTGTTCTACTGGCCAATCTCCCACAAAATTTAGTATCTCCGGCCTTTCTGATTTCTCTAAATCGGAACCTTCCTGATTTCTGGTTCTTGTCTCCGTTGGTTCTGTTTCTGGTAATACGTCACTACACCGATTAGCTTCAGTTTGAACGTCTAAATCCTTGTTATTGTACTCCTGAACGTCTTCAACATTGCATTGTGAATCTGTGCTTTCTTCACACTTCTCAAGGTCAGCTTTAATTACTTCCATTTCAAGAACAGGCTCCACTTCGTCTCTTCTTGGGGGTGATGCGTAAATATCCAAGTCATCCACAGGGACGCCACATTCAGAACGGCATTCTGATGATTTATGTCCAATTTCTCTCTTTTCATTCCAAATGTTCCGGTTTTCCAGTGCTTCTCCCTCGAACAGATGCTTCTCATCCATGCTCAATTCTGTGCATTTTAAAGGCGGGGCAAAAGGTTCTTTCCCCCCATGAGACAGTGTATTTTCCTTCCTATAAAACAAACAATAGATTTTTTTAAAAAAAACACCAAAACAACTCCCACAGAGCAGACATACATATTTGAAAGCATTTTAGGCGCCCCATAATCTTTACGGAGCAGAGGCGTTGTCTTAGAAATCATAATCTTCAGCTAAGGCATGCTGAAATATATATTATACATTCCTGGAAAGACACAGAGGACTTTAAAATCTATTTGCTGCAGCAAGAACTGGATGATGCTAAAAGATGACTGGAGGAAATGGGAGCTATTAAAAGGATACATACAACAGAGTTCCATGAGGGCTTCCAAGCATATATAAATACTGTGCATGAAAGCTACTCCATTCACTTTACAGTAGGAAGTAAATTTATACACAGAAATGAGTCATATTATAGTCCTCCTCCTTCCACTGAAATGAACTGAGATGTCTATGCAGGTGAAGAGCTCATTTTCATGAGCTCCTGCGTTTGGAACCAACTGGTCTATTGAGGCAGTGTAGCTGGACAGAGTAGCAAATGCTGACCTAGCACTCCGGTGTCAGTTTCTGAAACACTGGAAGCATTCCAACCACCTTAAACATTCTCTTAGCTGTTTTCCATTGAAATATATAACTTTCAGATATATATAATCTCCACTGCATGGAGCATAGAGGTAGTACACATAAGTTGCCTTTTATTGTAATACATGCCAAAATATAACAAGACGTTTCAGCCCCTGCAGGAATTACATGGAGGGGGGGGTGCATATATGTGTAAGATAAAACAACTGGGAAATTCCTCATCCCTTACCACAGTTCAAGACTGCCAAGCTCTGGGATAGATCAACTTCCTGCTCTGTTAACTGTGAACCTCAATGGTATACCACACCCATGCCAGTATATATTTTTTTATTTATTGTTATAGGCTCTGGCCACCTACACAGCTGAGAGAGTCCTTGGGAAGAGGAGTGTGATATCTTGGAATCAAAGGAAGCACGTTTCCTCTGATAATTAATCCTCCCACCAGGACTCTTTCAGCTTGAAAGAAGGCGCACAGCACCCCCTAAAGGCTTACATTACTCTGGACTGGGGGGCAGGGAGGGACTCTCCACGGAAAGCATTCCCCAAACATAATCGTCCCTCCAGTTTACTATAAATTCTTAGGGTTTGAGCAGACATTCCATGGCTCATAGTTGGCAACTTTATTCCTCAGACTGTTTTATGTTCTTTTCCCTCCCATTTGTTATACTATAATTTTTCAGTGTACCTTGGGAGACACCCAGCTATGGAGAAAGTCCTATCTTGCCCTATTTCAGAATCTTACTCATAGGCACAATATCATCAGGTTTGCTATTAGGAGGAGTAACGGGTGGGGGGGGAAAATGCTCATCATTCTACTTGACTCATAAACACAGTATTCCTTCCGTTTTGTTTTTTTTTCAAACCTTCTGATTTCATAGAGTCTTCTTCAAATTGCTTTGCCTGCCGATGAAACCTTGTTCATTTGCCAGAACTCTAGGACATTTTAAGGTGCAAACCCAGACCCTTAAAAATGTCCTGTGCAAACTGCGTACGTGCAAGCTGGAACATACTTCCCTGCAGCCGGAGATTACAGGGGAAGATCAGCACTGGTGGGCAGGATGTCCTTCTGAGAACCTTATCTGCTACTACCAATTATATCTATTGACTTCATTTATGCAATGTGTTCCTGCCAACACCCTGAAGGTACTTTACAGTTTAAAATATTCAAAAATTAAAAAGGCAGAATCCTCCCAAGCCAAATGTCTTCAAACACTCTGGTATGTGCTACCTGACCCAGACTTCTGCATCCGTCTCAGGCCACTGTCACCAGTGGTTGTGAAGGTCTCCCGAGTATGTTGGGGAATTTAGCAAGGAGATCCAAACAATGTGAGAGGAGGGTAAGCAGGATCTCCACCAATGTCTATCAGGATTTCCCCCTCAGCAGAACTCTCAAAATGAACCAGGCCATGATAAATGAAATGGATCTTATTGAAGAAAATTAAATAAAATCAAACAAGTATAAACACATATACAAGTTCAGAAAATAAAGATAGATGCTTATAGAGACAGAGAGGAGAAGGAACTGGTGGGATGTCCGCGCCCACCCCCTCTGGGCATGCGCGGTGGGGTTCCTGAGCAAGCCCGGGGGGCTGGGCGCGAAAATCCATTAAAAGAGCTTGCTACAGCACCGATCGATCCAGCGCATGTGCACTAGATCCCATTGGTGTGAAGCACAGAGACCACAACAAAGATCTTGTTCTTATGGGACTATATTTACCTATCCAAAGAATCAGAGATCCAAGAAGGAGGACAAGTGAAACAAACTAGCATCTCACTCAAGGAAGAAAGTGTACTCAACCTCGCGTTGGGGGTGTAAGTTAGTGGATGTCCAAACACACACACACACACAGAGTGTTGCTAGATATACCCCTTGGAACATGATGTGATTGCTCCTAGAACAATGCTGTGATGGTTATAGTGAAACAATGTGTCTGAGCAAGGAAGCTTCATAATGTTCCCAGGAACTGTGAATGCAATGTAACATTTATGCGAAAATGTCTATTGTGTTTAGTGACCTCTAAGTGCCAGGACAAGAAAGCTATTATAAGGCATGTTATGGGATTAAAATGATTTTTGCTATTTACTTAGGATAACCAGGTAAGGAAAGGTCAGGCAAGGCAGGAAGTTGGTTAGTTTGGTAGAGTGGTTAAGAGTGGCGGACTCTAATCTGGAGAACCGGGTTTGATTCCCCACTCCTCCACATGCAGCTGCTGGTGTGATCTTGGGTCAGTCACAAGTTCTCTCAGAGCTGTTCTCTCAAGAGCAGTTCTCTCAGAGGTCTCTCACCCCACCTACCTCACAGGGTGTCTGTTGTGGGGAGGGGAAGGGAAAGGGATTGTAAACCACTCTGAGACTCCTTTGGGTAGTGAAGGGCAAGGCATTAATCCAGTCTCCTCTTCTTTACTGCCTTTTCTGAGAAATCAGACTTTGACACTGATGGATTCAGAAAGAGAAGGGAGCTGCCAGAAACCAGACCCTTTCACAATGCACCTTTGGGATCAGTTTTCCCAGACAAGCCTCTGGTCAAGATTTGATGGCACACAATCCATGTGACTGTAGGACCTATTTTGATCCTATTTGCAGACCGGGGAAGAGTCTTGAGTGAGTGACCCTGTGAGATGCTGAGAAAGAAGGTTGCCTGTGTCACCTTTTCCCAGGTACCAGACTCGTTCTCCCAAGGGAGGAGGGGTCCAGGCATAACACCACCCAGGTCTGTCGGGCTGCAGTCCTAACAATACTTTCCTGGGAGTCAGCCCCATTAACTAAAATGGAACTTACTGCTGAGGAGACCTCCTTGGGATTGCTCTTCTGGCTGAAGAACCTGTGTAGACAACGGATCTCCCAAGTTTGAAAACCAGTGCTCTATTTTAATAAGAGTGAATGTCAGAGGATTACAATTACTTTGAAGCTGTTTGCAATATATATTCGACAACACATTTATCCAGAGAAGAAAAAGGAGGATGTTCGTGTTGGCTTGCATTCTTGAAGAGTATGTGGGCATTTAATGATACAAGCGCCCATTCTACTCAGACTTAGAGATGTAAAATTTCCGGAAATTTTGAAACTCGGGAAAAAACCCGTTTTTTTCCGGGTTTTTCCGGGGGAAAACAGAAATTTTTGGAAAAATTGAAAAAAAATGCTACATTAGCATTTCTTTTGTCTTTTCTAGATTGAAAGTCATTCTGTTACTTTAGGAACATATAACTATGGACATTTTTACTTGGCATGAAATTATCACAACTAGCATATTAAAAAAATAGTGTATCCAAACAATTATTACAAACAGAATACCCACCCACATGCAAAAACAAAACTGAAACCTTTTTATTTTCTTCTGACAATAGCACCTCCTAAAGGAAGAAATGCATCTTGTTCTTGCATTGGAGAGTTCAGTTTGTAACCTAGGACTTGCTTGTCCTCAGTGCACAGAAATTAGATCAATCTGATACCATATATATATATTTTAGAAAATATTTGAACACCTTGTCTTAAAATATTTTATTCATCATTTTAAAATAAAACGTTCCATAATCAATTTCTTTTCTTTTTTCAATTTTTCAGGAAAAACAAAAAAGGCTTCAGGAAAAAAACTGGTTTTTTCCTAATTTTTCCGGTTTTTTTCCGGGCCTTCACATCTCTACTCAGACTATATTAATACATGCAAATTTATGAAAAGGGACTTGTAGCACCTTGAAGACCAGAAACACGTTTCAGAACATGCTTTCAGAAATTTACACCACAACACATTTGTTAAGTCTTCAAGGTGACAGAAGACTGCTGTTTGTACAAAGACTAAACATTCTCTGTTTTTCCCCTTCCTAAATCCACAGTTTTCCTTTGACCACAGTTCTGAGAGAGCACGTGTGATGAAGGCCTTAGTGGAGTTTTCAAAACACAAATTCAAGGTTTCATGTTTGGAAGGTTGAAATATTAACTTACCCCTGTCCCTTTTTGTGATGAAGAGCTTCTTCAAAGGTTCCACTTTTCAATTCACTTGGCACTGAAGAGTTCAAAATTGCACTAATAGTCAGGCAGCGTTCATATCGTTCCAACATTTTTTTGATCTTTTCTTTAGATACTCCATGAATATTTCGCCTAGATATTAAAATTAGAGGATATTTGATAGTATAGCTTCACAACAAAATCACATTAGAAGATGCAACCTTTTTTCCTTATTTCCTTTTCTCATTTGAGATACAGGCTAAATATTTAGATGATGTAGCTTTTGCAGTGTCAAAATTTAACAGCAGGTTTTGAATACTAATATCTACACATACACAAACAAATGAAGAAGCTTCAGGAAAGCCACACTAATATCACCTTAGCAATTTACTACTTTCAAAATATTGATTATGCAGAACTCTAACCTGAGAAGAAGAGATTTTAGAATCTTTTATTTTCAATTTATATTTGACAATTTAAAGACAACTTGCAAATGGAAGGGAAATATACAATGACCTATTTTTATCTAAGTTCTGAATCACGACAATATTTTAAACAACTTTTGTTAGAGCTCCGGAAATAATTAACAGTTCAAAATATTATTTCTTCTAAAATATTTTTAGCAAATGTGGACCTTAGCATATAAGCAACAGACCCAATGCTAGAAAAGTAAAAAACTTAGCAGACACCAATATGCTGTTATGGCATTTGATTTAATTCTGTTTCCTATGGATGATCAGTCACTGTCTATGGACAAATGACAGCATTCCATTTCCTCAACCAATGAAGGTTGTAGATAGCCAAACAGCAACAGAAGGTGATAAGATTATTCCCCATGTTTCCTTTCCTTTTGACCCTTGGAAAGATCATATCTGGTGTCATAGGACTGACAAGGACAAAAACCCTTGCAGGTCAGGGGGCTAAGGAGAAATCACCTTTCTGCTCTCCCCTACCAGCAGAAATCTGTGTCAGGAAGTCAGGAAGAGTACGGACTCAAGAACCCCCCCAAATTTATGGAATCTGTCTGAGCATCTTTGAAGGAATCTGTACACTTCACAGCCAAACAGTATTTCTGAAATAGTTGGACAGCAAAATGGGTACTGAAGATACAACTCAAATTTATTCAAGATTCTGATGGGGCTAGAACAACCTAGAATACTGCAGCAATCTATGATATTTGAACTGATATAATCATGTTCAGGAAATACTCATATTGGGATCAGTTCTAGATAAAGGCGTTATATTGTTTCAAATGTTTAATGAGGAAGTAAACTTTTTTTACCTTTCAAGTTCTTTTGGTTTAAACTTCCACCAAGTATCCGGTTCACGAAATATAACTTTATAGCTGTGCTGCTGCGACTGTATAAAAATATAACAAATGTAAACACACTAATAAAATGACGCATTGTTTTTATATCCAAGATTCGGCAGGCTAAGCATACAGTTAAAAGGTACACCAAATCTTAGTACAGAAGTCTCACTGGTAAATCATCACTATTAGGCGTAAAGAAGGAGACCTTTCAAAAACTAAATACAAGTATCCACATCATAGACACATTCAATAACATAAGCTTCCATAAGTATAAATCCCACGGAGCACAAACCTAACCATGGCAAAAAACTTTCAAAACTAATTACAGTCTCTCCAAACATCAAGACACCCAGACCACGTTCAGACGATATCTACCCTAGGAAAAATCAGGAGTGGGGACTTAGGCACATGCTGTGTCCTCCAACCTGAATCCTGGGAAGACAGAGGTGATGCTGACTGGAAGGGCTGAGGTCTCAAAAGACATTGTGCTTCAATTTTGGAAAGCAAAAGAAGCTCCATCGTTATACTGCTGGCAAAATACAGCAAGTAAACAAAAATTATTTCAAGCAACTTGGTTTCCTATATTAGAATATTTGGCGAACAGTGGTATTGTACCGAAAAATCCTTACTATGAAAAATTGTTACATTTTTAAGTTGCTATATGATATATGTTTGTTTCTTTTACACTGTAATTATTTAAAAGATATGATCTTTATTCCTTCTTGTATTAATATGCTCTCCTAAAGTTATGTATTGTTATATTTACTGACATAAGGTTAAAATTGTTGTGTTGTGTTGTTTGTTTATAAAGAATAAAAAAATTATAAATAAATAAAAAAAAGACATTGTGCTTCACACATTTGAAGGGGTTTAGTTGATGTCTGTTGACTTGCTTAAGAGCCTACGGGTTATTGTGGATCCAGCACTATTGCTGGAGAAGTTGATGTAGCTACAAAACACAACTGTTTTGCCTTGAGACTCAGCGAGAAAGGTGGAATAAAAATAAATAAATCCCACTCACTGCATAAAGACAGCATGCAAAGCCCCAAAGCCATTTCTGACCTTCCCTTGGGTAGCGCCAGAACAGAACCCTGGAGAGCATATACCTGAAATACCACAGTGTGAACAAGCCCAGAGACAACAGGTCTCCATAACAACATCACTAAATTATATACTAACCAAAGCAACATAAGGCTTCATCTCCCAAGCCTGTATATTTGTGTTGTCTATTATTATAGGAGTGACCCTTTTTTCGAATGCTTCTTTGGCTGAAAAATATACCAAGAGATAAAAAAAAATATCAAAGTTTAATTTCATTGAAATGAAAGTGACCTTTAAAAAATACATTTCCTTTCAAATAAGAACTATCACAGAAGTAAAACCAGATGTTTAGAGGTTCTCCCTGGGAGGGTTTTGGAGGGTGCAAGCTGTTGAATAATAATGCTTTCGATTTCGATTTATTAATCGCTTTCCCCACAAGTGGGCTCAAAGTGATTTACAGTTACTCTTTAAACATGACTGAGCCAACATGGGACTGACAATGTTTTCATAGGGGACTGACAATGTTTTCATAGGGGATAAGGAAGACAACATATAATTCATTTAATTGCACACGCTGTAACTGCATGGTGGAAACGTTCTGGCTTGGCTCAGTCATGTTCCGAACAGCTGCGTCGACCGGCTTGATGACGTTGGGGCTGCAGGACCCGTATGTCGTGTCGCCACACTGCCACCACCTGGCCGGAGCATCCCACTGCAGGGATTTTTCGTAGCCTAGTAGATCTTCCGTCTTCCGGATCTTGGACCAGGACGTCCCCAACCGACAGCTAACACCTCTCCCAGAGGGGAAGTTGGTGTGCCCACCCTCTCTAAGGAGTGGTTCCCATTTTATCTACTCGCCGAGGCTTTCGAATCGCTGGGTGGATGATGAGCTGGGGACAACAGGCTGGCAGCTCACACCAGCGCGGGGCTCGAACTAACACAGTTCGGATGTTAAGACAGTGGGATATACCCACTGTGCCACCGCTCCCCTGAAAAATGGCAAATTTAGAGAAGAGGACAAAATTCTTGGAAGGACTCCTTCAAGTGTTACCTAGGAACAGGGTACTAAGAGACGAGGGTCCTTTCTGCACTAGACCTTAAATCCTGGTTCAACCCTGTCCCCAAACTTACATTCTACACTACACGCGAGTTCACCCCTGTAATTATCTCCGGGTATTTTTACATTCTACACTATACTCGAGTTTACCCCTGTAATTATCTTGGGGTATTTTTACATTCTACACTATACTCGAGTTCACCCCTGTAATTATCTCGGGGTATTTTTTGTCTTCCACATTACATTGAGGTCACCCCGGTTTTACCCCACACTTGTCCCGGGATAAACAGATGCTGTTATAACCAAGGATAAATGCAAGGTATTGTGTCGCAAGTTGAACCCTGATAAAAGCAGGGATGAGATCCAAGTGCGGAAAGGACCTTGGTTCGTGCCTTCTTGTTAATAAGGGCAGAGAGAGAAGGCCTGTGAGGGACAGAGCAGGTGGGTATCCTGCAAGACAGCCAAGGTGATGTCTGAGAAGATGCTGCTTTCCAAATGGAGTACAGGTTGACATGCATGAAACTACCATTGCCCTAGAAAGATAGGCTGGTCCTCAGAACTTTAAGGAAGAGGGATATGCATAAATGCCCCACATCAACAGTGACTCTGCTGGAACACTGTCCAGTTGGCCCTATAAAGAGGGGAGCAACCAGAATTTTCCAGGAGTTGTAATGACTAAAGACGAGTGACCTATTTCTCATTCACATCTTGATTCCGGGACTACTGGATTTATCTTTGACTCTGTGCATCACTGGTTTTGTTGTTCACAATATAACAAAGAAAACTCATAGTTAACAATTCCCTTTCGTACCTTAATATAAAATCTATTTTTAAAGTTTCAGCTCAGTTCAGAGTGGAAAAACAACTACTTTCGTGACCACTAGCAACACTAAGACTTGACACTTTCTGCTGACAGGGCTTTTAAGCAGAAGAGTTACAATTAGATTAACTGACGTGTTTTACAATAATGCAACTGAACTACAGTGTCCTACACAGAACAAAACAGAAATTATCATAAAATGAAAGTGGATTCCTTGTTGTACACAGAATTCTGGCTCACACAATAATCTGTTTCACTACTTTACATGGCACATGCGATATAAAATCTGAAAACCACAGCTCACTTCTGTATTACAACATACTCATTTAGATACATAGTCCAAACTACCCCCAGGTAAGAGGTGTTTCTCACTGAAGCATTATCTCATTTCTCTTTGCAATCAGTCTAAGAAGTAGGCCCCTTATTCCCTTTTCACAGATGGTAAACTGCAGCTGTGACATGCCCAAGACTTTCCCATACAATACAATCCAGACTTCCTGAAGGGAAGATGCCCCTTGGCATCTGGGTGTCCCATTCTATGACAGCACACACTCCATCCTTTTATAAGGGTTCCTTAATGCACACAGTATTCTTCAATCCAGACAAGAATTATTATTTTTTAACATGGGCAGAGGTTCATGGGCACATCTGATTCCTTTGTGTACACACTAGAACTTCAGAATCCTGGTCCACGAGTCTGCAAAGAATTAGAATCTGAATGCAGGCCTCTCAGGTCAGAGCCAAGCATTCTATCTTTGGGGGGGGGGGGTGCCTAGCAAGGATGTGACATCATGTTCTGTGATGTAACTTCCAGGTCAAAGGTGAAGCAATGTCATTTCCCAAGTGTCACCCCTTCTATTGATGGTTGGTTAGTCACAGGAGGGGCATGGATGCTGAAGCTTCACTCCCATCCACTGGCAATATACGTAACCACCTCTCTGAGATTTCTACAAGGGTTTTCTACAGGTTTTCTTTGCAGCCATAAGGGCCAGAAACTTGATTTCAAAAAAAACCCAAAGTAAGCGGAATTCTCTGTCCATACCACATTTGACATACAGCCCTATAGATATACTAGTTCCTGGAGAGCATGTTATTGTGCATTTAAACAGTCCTTTCCCCTGATTCTTATAGCTGCATTTAGTGCAGTTCTTTGTTGTCTAAATGAATTGCTTTTCACACTTTGTAAACTGTCTGAGTCTCTGTGAGAAAGGCAGACTATAAATGACATTAACAACAACCACCACCAGCAATAGCACCCAAGCCATCATATATTCAAGAGGAGCAGTGAAGCACTCCCAGGGTGTTTCTGTTTGTTTTGTCATAAACATACTTCCTTTTTCTTCACTTCTGCAAGATTTGTTATGTTGTGAACAAGGGAAGGGGGGGTGTTTGTTTTTTGAGGAGGGATTATATTTGTTTTTATCTTATTTATAGCCTGCTTTTCTCACCAATACTCCATAGAGATTACACAGTCCAGAAAGAGCGAGAGAGAAAGGGGGGGGGGAATAATCATACCCCATATGGCCTTGAATGGATAATGCAATAGCACGAGGTGTACAAAGCTGAAGAAAGCAAGAAATAATGTGGCCACACAGTATAAGATACACAGTGAACACTGTTGTATGTTAATCAGATAGCAGGAAGATCATTAGGATCTAACTGACAGTTCAGTGACAGCTACATGTCAGCAGGTGGACTGATAAGCCTGTTCAAACCGGTTATGGCTGGCACTGGACAGTGTGCAGTCATCATGACTCAGCTTGTTGCTGATTGGTGCTACTGTGTATATAAGTCTGTACAGAAGCCATGTACGCTCTCTTCGGAGGTAACAAGTGTCTGGCGAAGCATTTTGTCTGTGTATTCTGTGAATAAACCCTTGTATATAGTGTACCACTGGACTGTGCAGTGTGGTTACTATAGAGGGACAGAACAGCAAAGAACTGGTAAGAGCTGGGAGGCTGGAAAGTCTGCTAAGGTGCTGTCTTGGCTTAGACTGGTCTGGGGACCACTACACACGCTCTGCGCGACAGGGGAACAATCTAAGAACAATAGTGAACATCATAGAATTTTACGAGCAACATCCTGGACGCCAAATGGCACTGGTCTTCCTTGACGCAGAGAAGGCGTTTGATAATGTGAAGTGGGACTTCTTGAAGAATAAGCTGAGTGAATGGGAATGTGGAAACTATTTCCAAACTTTAATAGCTGCTATTTACAAAGAACAATGGGCAAAAATAATTGTCAACGGAGAACTAACACAAAGCATCCCGATTCAAAAAGGAACCAGACAAGGCTGCCCTCTATCACCACTATTGTTTATATTTGGAATAGAGACATTAAACGATTTGATTAGAGAGAATACAAAAATAACTGGCCTTAAAATAAAAAAGGAGCAGTATAAACTTCAAGCGTTTGCGGATGACCTGGTGTTCATTTTAGACGAACCAACAACTGCAATAGAACATTTATTAAACACAATACATCTATACGGCGAAAGAGCAGGACTAAGAATAAATCTTGGAAAGACAAAAATTATAACAAAAAATTGCAAAAAAAGATCTCGAATAAAATGGCAGCTTCTACGTGATAGAAAAGAAAAAGGGGGCTTAGGTGTACCAGACTGGAATTTGTATTACCAAGCAGCAGCCATGGGATGGATCCGTGATTGGATATTACTAGAAGACAAAAGGACATTACAACTGGAAGGACATGATCTATACATGGGCTGGCATGCGTATGTATGGTATGGAAAAGAGAAAATACATC